CTTGGATGTGCAGGTGGTGTATTGAATAATGGCTCAGAATTGTGAATCGAAGAGATGAGTTCCAATTCCAGTCAGGTTCATTATATTCACTTACATGCAAATGCCCTTGGGAAAGGTATGAATCCACCTCCTCTTACCCCATCTATGGGTTAATTAGTAAGATTTTAATCTTTAAATCATAATCTTCAAAAAATTCTAACAATCTAAAAATAATTTCTGGCTTTAAATAACCTGCAAAATGTTGATAAGCAGTAAAAAATAAAATCAATCAATAGATATGCACATGAAATAATCTTTTGGGTAAAGGTTTGTAAAAACTTTACTGTTGAGACACTTTTTAGATAACGAATTATTGTTATTATAGTGATTTACCAAGTGTAGCTTAGCTGTGATGTAAGGCCCTAAGTATGAAGCAGCCAGAGAGGATCAAATTCACTATTACTCACAAGTAATTAATCTAGTGAAACAAGTTTGCTCAGCATTGTAATGTCAAAGTGCCCAAATTGTTATAATATGCTTGATTATTTGGCCCAGTGAGTCCTTTTTTGCTGTTGCTCTAAACAATCAAGATGAACATGCTTATCTGAATAGTAAGTAATACCAGTATTATCGTATAACAAGTAGATAAGTATAAAACAATGAAAATCTACAATATACTGAAAAGGTAGCTTATTAAGTAAATAGAATGCAACGATGGGTGTATGTGACGCCAAGGGAAGTAATTTTGAAAGACACTACAGCAGCATTGCTTTGTTTCATGAATAGTCAATGGTCGGATACTTTCTGGACATATCTCATTTATCTGTATATTTTTACTTACCTATTCAGAGATTCACGTCTATTTCTGCCTGTGCACTTTGTGTATTGATACAAACATTTTTAGTGACATCTTTTATACAGAGAAATAGGAAATAGAATTAGAGGCCCAAAATAGTCAAGTTCCCTTGGCACTTCCCCTTTGGAGAGACAGTTGCCTGAACTTACCCTTGAGTGGGGATGGTCCCTTCGAACTGGATTTAATTTATGCCTTCAAGCTGAAAGGCCAAGAATTCTGCAATATAATTATGCAGATTTCTGGAGGTTTTGTGACAAACAATTTTTCCTTATCAACTAATCTAATAATGGTTGAATGAAATGTTAGTTTCCATGGCAACAATGGAAATTAAGTTTCATTTTGTTATTATCATTACAATTCTTCAAATGCTACTTTTTGTTCTGAGATTATTTGCTAATAGACAGTTAAGTAAAATACTTGCTGTTTTAAATTTGTCTGAACTTATATATATATATATATATATATAGTTCACACACACACACACACACAATAGGCAAAAAGTTTGGGACCACCCTGCATTTCTTAAAAATAAAATGCCTTAAAATAAGACAGTTTGAGATTTTCTTTTTAAGTAATTGAGAGAACTTCAGTAACCAAAGCGTTTTTGCTTTTATTTCAACAAATAAACACATAACTATAAAAAAAATTATCATACAACAGCATATTTTTTTGTCAATAAAACCACCACGTGCCTTAATTACTGATTTACAAATTCTTGGCATTCTTCCCGACAATTTTTGAAAAAAAATTAGATAACAGGCCTTCCCTAGTATTCTTCATGCAGTGAAAAAGCTTACTCTCACGCTTAGGGTATTCTCTTCAAACTCTATCGAATTCATCCCATTCAGATTTATGCGACTCCGTCATAATTTCCAACATTTTGTTCCTTTTTTGAAATGAGGTAATTTTCAGTATTTTTGATCATTGTCTTGTTGAAATCAGATGGTATAGCATGTCTTTGCAAAATCAAATGATATTGTTTTTTCTTTCATGATTCCCTTATGAATCAAATCTCCAGCTCTCTCTCCCACAAATCACCCCACACCATGACAGACCCACCACCATACTCAGCTGTTGGAATCACACATCCATCGTCTTTTTCTTGGCTTTCTTCTCACATACTCTCCTCTTACTACCAAAAAGTTCAAATTTGGACTCATCTGTCCACAATACTTTTTGCTACTCTTTCAATGACTTGTTCTTATGCTTTTTTGCATGTAACAATTTTTTATGCTTATTCTTCTTCCATAACAAGGGTTTTTTGATGGCTATGCACCCTTGAGCCCATGCAGATTTAAGTCAATTTTTCCTAGTTGAAAGCAACACTGGTTTTTGTCCAAAGGAATTAAGTTCAGTGGAGCAGTTTTCCTCTTATTTCTTTTGCTCTCAATAATCAAATGTTTGTCTTCAGTAGCAGATGCCCCTTTTTGGTATCCCATCTCTTTTTCTGTCAACATATGTGTCTGCTTCTAACTCCCTTTGTAACAAATATTGCACCACATGTCTAGAAATTTTCAACTTCTTGGCAATTTGTCTTTGAAAGTAGCCTTCTTTGAATAAAGTTTCAATTTGTGCCCTTCACCTCATTGCTAGATGCTTTCATTTTGCCATTTTACTCAAATTACTTCAAAATTAAAAAAAATAAAAAATTAAAAGAAAATGTGAAAATACTGTTGTAATGACACAATACTTTTTTCTTCAGAGATAGCTACAATTATTTTGTTCATAACATTAGTCCATGTTGAGTTAACATTTAGAATCTGTATCAACATTTAACTTAGTTGGAAATTGTGTTAAAAAGTCTACTGAGGGTTTAATAGTGAAAACAAAATATGTTTCTCATACCAAATATTCATAATTTAGAAAAATATATTGTGGACAGACAAATCCAAATTTGAACTTATTAGTAGTAAGAGAAGCTTAGAGAAAGAATGAACAAATCAAAGCAAATACACTGTAGGTACTGAAATTTTAACTTTTACTTAAAAAGAAATGCAAAAAATATTTCATTTTAAGGTATTTTTTTTTTTTAATGCAGGGTGGACCCAAATTTTTTGCCTACAGTGTGTGTGTGTATATATATATATATATATAAAAACTATTATGGTCACTTTACCATGTTGAATAAATTAAATATTTCTAAAATGTTATACATTTATACAACTGTATGATTTTTTGCCAAAATAATAGCTGGAAACTCTCACATGAAACTAATGCTAAATTATTGATATAAACAGTTTCAGAAAGACTTATATATATATATATATATATATATATATATATATATATATATATATATATTTATAATTTTGTACTAGATTCAGTACACAATCTTTTTTTTTTTTTTTATCCTGGTGGAACCTTTCTCATGTCTCAAGAAACCTTTGCATAAGAAAAATGTACAATTCACAGCATGTGTACAGTTCCTAATTGATAAGTAATTTTAGAGTCACTATTAATGTCTTCCAACCAGTTATATTTGGTAACATTCTTAGAATTTCAAGCTGAGCCTTTTATAGAGGTAGACTTGTTTTAATTCCATTGCCAATATTTAGATATATTTTATATTCATTAAAGTTAGTTTATATTTTGTCCTTTTTATGCTTTTTATACCCATTTTAACAGATCTGTAATTGAACTTACAACCACCAGATAAATTGATCTAGAAAACATTGCAATCAGGTGGTGTCACTTTGCGGACTTAAAACTAAAACCTGTCAACTTCTGAGGCAAACAATTGAGACTGGCAGGAAAAATGGAAGCAGCATCATGAGAAAGAATTCACAAAAGGGAATTAATAATGAAAAATTTAACAATACGAGGACATTTGATTTCTATGAAATAAATAAAAGCTCAATGTTAGCAAATGTGACAAGTACCTGAGTAAAAGCAGAGGATACAGTGGCTGAAACCTTGTGTCTCTAACAGTCAAGATGGGAAAAGTACTTCATATGAATCAGCAATTGTTTTGTAATCTAGAAGTAACTGTCAGGTTTTTTCTGCAGCTATCTTCCTTTTGACAAACTCTTTCATCTAGCTTCTTTTCCAACTGAAGAAGATTGAAATTTTTTTTTAAAAAAAAAGTCTATTTCTTCAAAAGTAATGATTTTACTTTTTCTTTTTACTTTTCATGAATTCAAAGACAAACATAATTTTTTACTTTACTAGTTTAATCCAAAAGGACTTAATATTTTTTTAATGATAAACTCTCAGTTTTATGTAAAAAGAGAAAATGATTTTATTTACATAATAAAAATTAAAAATGTTGAATAAATCTTAGTCAGATTTTAGATAAACACAGGAAATTTTATTGTTCAATGAAACAAAATCTGTTTTTACTCTCTTTCTGTGAATGAATGATAAAGCTAACAAAGTATTCATTGATATGTTGTACAAACGGAAGAACAAATTCCAAGAATAGCAGAAATTTAAAATGTGCCCTAAGACAGACCAGTAAATTCTATTTTGGAAGATCTTACTACAGAACCTTATCTCTGGCTGAGAAAAACATGAATGATTCTTCATCCAATAATGTGTTGAAAAGAAAAAATGCTGTTCAATTCACCCAGTAAAAACTTACTGATATCTTTCTTCAGTCTCACATTGCTGCAGAAGCAATGTTCAATTTCCTTTTCAATCCAAGAATATGAAGCCAAGATTTTTTTACCAGAAAAATGAATCTACTAAAAATTAGTTTGGTTACCACAGTACTCAGCAAATTCAGATATGTTTCTTGAAATTATTCCTCCAATTAAATTTTGAGCCTGTAAGAAATTCTTCTCTGCCCAAACAAGAAGAAATCAATGTGCACCTTAACCAGCTCTACCCTTCTGTGCTGTTCTTTTGTTCCTCTTAACATTCACCATTTCTAGATTTGGTTCTTTTTGTTTATTCCTTATTCTATATATATATATATATATATATATATATATATATATGATGCACTGGGTGTCCCATAAAGATAGTTTGCTGTAATAAAAATCTATATATCTGTTTGTAATGAAGTGGGACCAAAGGACCCAAACTTACCCAATGCTAAGTGTTCACAATGTTTGATCTGTTTGGTTACAGTCGCTATTTGTAATTCCATTATGGCGCATGCATGGGACAAAGACTTTTAATACTGCCAGAGATTTGCATGCACAAGCATGTAACTCATATAAAC